GTACTGTGGATTGAACTTGGGTCCTTGCACTAGCGAGGCAGGCGGTGGAACCACTAAGCTAACTCCCTAGCCCTAGGGTTACTATTTCTAAGGTATAGCCAGGGATATAGCTCAGAGGCACCATGCCTGCTTTGCAAGAGCAAGGTCCTGAGTTCAATCTCCGGTACCCTCCCCCAAAATTCTAATGTATAGAATCATTAATGAGAAAAAGAGAAAAGCTATCATAAACAGCCTATTGAAAAATGAAATACTAAAGTGGCACAATTAGAAAACTTTTAATATTCTTAATTTTCAAAGGCTAAATTAAATGACAGTGAACCTCACTTAAAATTATGTTGTTTCTGTAATCCTCCATTAGACTTGTGAACTTTTTATTAGCATGTACTTATAATATGTAATTACATTCATCTTGAGGATGGCACTATTCGTAACCTTTTGCTTGGTTGTAGCTAGTAGGTTCCATTCTAGTGCCACAGCATTTCCAATGATGAATGACTGACTGACATTAGTGTCTTTCAGTTTCAGGAATTGGAGACAGATTTTTTAAAAAGGCTCATTAAATATTGAGGAACCGGTCCATATACATATTACACCCTAACTATTTTACTTCCCCTTCCCCTCGCTGCCCACGTCTCCGCCTATCCCCAGATCCTCTTCCCACAGTTGGAAGCTTGTGTTTGTTGTTCACCGTAGTATCCTGCAGTAGTGCTGCACTTAAAAGTATACTATAGAAGGAATAGCAAGATTGCCAGTAAGATCGTAATGTAGGTTAACACATCCTCTCATATACTGTGTAGATGTTTCAACTGCTACATCATTCAGGTTAGAATGGGTTTTGCTGTGGTAACACAGACCTCAAAACCCCTGTGACTTAAAGCACCAAGACTTATCCTTAAGCTGTGTAATGCTCAGGGCTATGGTTGTCTCACATTTAAGACCTAAGCTGATGAAACAGGCACTGTCTAGAATGCAGCAGTCACCATGTGGAAGGTAAAAAAGTTCAAGGGCAATGCTATCAAATGCAGTAGCCACGAGCTGCAGATCAGAATCCAGCAGGGCAAACATTAAATCCTGCAGTGCCATGTCCAGCATCTGGGGCAATCTGCAGCAAGATGTGAACTCCTAGGGGCTTGGGCGGCCCCACCCCTACGGCACTGCTAGTGATAGGAGCCCTCGTGGCTTCCCTCTTGGGCCAGCTCTGCTCCCTCCTTGCAACTTTCCTCAGACCATGATCCACGTCCCTAACTTCTCCAACCCTCTGGGGTCCCCACTGCACTTGAGCTGGATACACTGCTCTCTCACTGCCTTCTGAAGTCTGGGTCGAAGTCCTCCCTGACCTCCAACACTTGCATTCTGCATGTGCCTAAAACCAGCACCACATGGAAGATGCCAGGTTCTCCCACCAGGCCTCCTTCCCTCATGGGTGTAGGGCTTGAATACCTGGATTGCTGAACGCTATGAACCCAATCCAGAGGAACAAGTTCTCTAGGCCACTGCCATTCTGGAACATGTCCTGAAGGAAGTTCTCTTCTCAAAGCAAAGTCTTTCGCCTTTGCACTTCAGCTGCTGTACTCCTGCTGCTTCTTGTGATGCCCTTGGGTCACCTTTTTTCTGTTATTGTCTTATGAAATACTAGGCTTTTTTTTTTTTTTTTTTGGTGCAGGGGATCAAACTCGGGTCCTTGAGCTTGTGAGGCAAATCCCTGGACCTAATACTAGGCTCTTTATTGCTGATCTTTTCAGCAACCATATTCTCCTCTGTTCCATCTTTGTAGGCCATAACTTTACTGGAGCTTTCTTTTTGGCCAAATTAAAAAAAACAAAACAAAAAAACTTTTAAAATCATTTTTCTGAGCCATGTTTTCCTGATTCTCAACATAGATGTGGCTAAAAACTCCTAACAGTAGTCATGCCACAGCCTCAACATTAGGCTGCCTTGAAATTTCCTCCAGATTAATTAGTCATGGTTAATTTCACTTTCTCACAATATCTTTGGATATGAGCAGAATACAGGCAAATTTTCTGCTGATGCACAACACATGTTCTGGAGTCTAGCAGCCAATGGAGTCCTCCCCAACTGAAACTTCTTGAACCTGGTGTTTTTCAGCCTCTTTACTCTCAGAATTCTGGTCTTCTGAGCTCTACCAGAGACTTCTGTCACCTTGGCTTACAGCATTCCTGGGCTTATCTGGCATTTCCAAACTCTTCCCATAAGCTAGTTCCAAAGGTTTATGAACCACACAGATGGGTAGTGTCAACAGCAACAACTCTACTTCTCTGGTACCAAAATCGGTCTTAGTTTCCTTTTTCCTTGCTGGGACAAAATACCTGATACCCTTGGACTGGGGATTTAGCTCAGTGGTTCCGCTGCCTGCCTTGAAAGCCAAGTTTGATCCCTGGTACAAAATTTAAAAAAACCAACAACAAAAAAAGCCTGACTTTGTTCTCACTTTATCTTCAGACAGAGCATACTCACTTACTACATATACTTCAAAATACTGAGTGAATGAATGAGTGCTTCCTGGCTTCTGGAGTCTCAATTTTCCTTCTCTTAGTCCTCTTTTGTTCTTCACATAGTTTTCTTGTAAATATTTTGAGACTCTCAAATGCAGAATGTTTCTTTAGTTCTGAACAGAAGTTCAATTCATTAAATTGGATCTTAAGTTTTTTTCTTCTGGTGTTTGAATTATATTCATTTTGTTTTCACTATCTTTATAAAGAAATGTGATTATATACTGAATTTTACATGTTTTAGTATAATATACTTTTAACATTGCCTAATGGATGTCCTCTTTGTAAGGGCCTTAATTTATCCTAATTATAGAAGTAAAGCAGTTTACAAAATGATGAAATTGAGGTCCAGAGGTGAAGCAATCCACTCAGGGTCACACAATTTGCACGTGTCTTTGAGTTCAGGCAAGGCCTTCTGTAGTCTTGACTTCCACTCTCCATATTCATGCCACTTTCTAAGAGAATTGCTGTTTACTTCCATCTTTGCCAACTGACTGGCTATTTTAATATTTACCAGTCTGCTGGGGGGTGGCAAGCCTTACTAATGAAGTCAAATGCATTGTTATATTAACTTATTAATTCCCTGCTCAAATCATTTGCCCGTTTTTCTTTGAGTTGCTTGGTATTCTTCCCTTTTTTTGAGACAGGTTCATTGTGTAGTCCAGACTGGCCTTGAACTCACTATGGAGCTGAGGCTGGCCTGGAACTGGCAGTGATCTTCCCACCTCAGCTTCCTGAGTTCATGCATCAACTTGCTTGGCTGCCTTTCTTCTTAATCATTTCTACTGCCTGCTTGTTCTCACGACAATTTCACTTGTTTCAGTGACTGATCCTGAGGCCTGTTACATTGGTACTGAGCCATGGAAACCCAAGGAAGCTTTGCAGGAAAATGGAATTATTACTGACAAGGCAGACATATTTGCCTTTGGCCTTACTCTGTGGGAAATGATGACTTTATCTATTCCACACATTAATCTTAATCTTACAGATGATGATGATGATGATGAAGGTATGAATTCCAATTTTATTTTTAATGTTTTCGTGGTGCTAGACATTAAACTCCTAGGCAAGTGCTCTACCACTGAGCTATACCCCGAGCCCAGGGGAATGAATACAAATTTTTAAAACATAAATTCCAATCTCATGACACTAACATAAGCTTATATATCTTTCCATTGTTGAAATGTTAAGAGTATTTGACTTAGTGGGGTCGTCTGTAAGATACGGAATATATCAATACCATGACACTAATTTGGTTAGATTTAATCCCATGAGTCATACATTGAGAATTGAGAAATTGAGGAGATCTAGAAGAACAAATTAAAACTACCCTTACCTGAGGAAAAAAGGTTGGAGAACTATTATAGGAAAGGGTAGTGGTCAATAACCTATAAATCCAAGACTAATGTACTCAGTGGTAAGATGATGGGAGGCCATCCAGGAGGTATAGAAAGGTACTAGGTGGAAAATTGTTGAAGCAGAGCTTTTCCATGAGCTTAATTGATTTTCTCTGTTTAATTTCTAATACCTTTGAGTAGATAAAACTTTTGATGAAAGTGACTTTGATGATGAAGCATACTATGCAGCTCTGGGAACCAGGCCCCCTGTTAATATGGAAGAACTGGATGAATCGTACCAGAGGGTACTTGAACTCTTCTCTGTGTGCACTAATGAAGACCCTAAAGCTCGCCCTTCTGCCACACACATTGTTGAAGCTTTGGAATTAGATGGCCAGTGATCATGTTTTTGATGACCTCAGTGTATAATGGTCTGTTTTCTTGGATGTTTATATGTTACTATGCTGATCTGCAGTTATTACCCTCTGGAAGTGGCCTATTTTAGGTCCTATTTAGGTCCTTGTTAATTTTGAATAGCTTATTTTATTTTATTTTATGTTTTTGGTACCTGGGATTGAACTCAGGACCTTGTGCTTGCGAGGCAGGCACGGTGCCACTGAGCTAAATCCCCAGCTTGAATAGCTAACATAAGGGCATTTTTTTGTGTTCTTATGATGATAAGCACTTGGTATTATCCTGGATTTTCTGCAAAGTTCAAGAGTAGGTAGTTAGATGTTCCACAGACTTTTAAAACACTAGCAATAAAATGCTGTAATCTGTTCTCACATTAATTTGATTTGAGTGACCATTCTATTAATGATCTCTTGTAATTGTCTATTTTAGTGGATCTATTAAAATTAACACTTTATACCCTGCAAAGTAAATCTACATTTGCTTATATTTTAAAATATCTAAACTTTTGCTGGCATTATATGCTTATTAAATGGTCACCTGAACCGAAGAATATGACTCAAGCGTAGCTATGTGGGTATTTCTAGACTGTTAAGTTACAGCTCGTCCTGCTGTCTTGTATTGATGTTTAATTTATTAAGTGTATTCCTTTAACTTTTGTTTACTAATATGTATACTAAGTATTTGAAAATGTGGTGTAAAAATAACTCAGATAATAAAGAATAAAGTATAGCTTTAGTACCAAAAGGTGTGTCAGCATTGTCTTTATACTTTAATTGATTTGAGTGTTATTGTTAAATTTCTTCAGTGAATGTGAATAGGTTTCTTTCCCTCTCTTGGCCTTATTTTGTTAATCTGTAAAATAAGGTTGGTTTGGATTAGTAGTTTCTATGACCCATAGCCCTCTAGAAATTTTTAAATGATTGAATTATAATTGTGAATCTAGGTGGTATACCCAACTGGCTACAGATAAAATTTCTCAGAAGTACTATCACAAGAGAGTTCTTTAGAAAATCAGGAACCATTGCACTCTGAGCTTTAAAAATCTCACTACAGAGTTCTTTTTAGTATTAGATTATACCAAGCAATAGTGCAAAGATAGGTAATTAGCATATCTTCCATCAAAATATTTTATTAGTGAAAGTAAATTGAAAGTTGACTTAATTTGCAGAATATATGTAATTTTGCATCCTGATAGTCAATAGTCTTAGACCCTCCCTTCAACTTACATATTGGATCATTCTTAGTAGGTTTGCCAAATCAGCAAAGCAGCTTCTTTTGGCCCATTCTCCTAGAACATTGGTGGCGAACCTATGGCACATGTGCCATAGCCGGGACACAGAGCTCTTTCTTTTGGTACCCCAGTCAAGCTACTCCAGCAGCCAGGTACCGGATAACAGTTACCACACCCTACTTCCTGTTACCGACTTTTTGTTTTTGGTGCTGGGGATCCAACTCTGGACCTTGCACTTGTGAGGCAGGCAACGGCACCACTGAGCTAAATCCCCCACCCTGTTACCAACATTTTTTTATGTAACAATTAGTATATCTGCCATGATCCGTGAATTTTCCTCATATTTACTTATTTCTCACTTAATGTACATTTTCTGTTTCAGGACATCACATTACCTTTAGGAGTCACACCCCCCCTTATCTGTGATAAAGTCTGTCAGATTGTCATTGTTTCTGCTGACACTGACAGTTGCAAGGTGTACTAGTCAGTACTTTATGGAATACCGCAAATGGGATTTGTCTGATGCTTATCCCTATACACGTTGGGAGGAAGGCAGGTAAGCTGCCCTTCACATTATATACCATCAAGCCCCAATATGACAACACTACAGATGTTGACTTTGATCACCTGGCAGAATTTTTCTGCAGATTTATCCCCTATTTATTCATTCATTGCTGTTTTATTGCTGAACTCATCCCAGGATCAGCCATTGGGAACTCTTTCAGTTGGCTTCTATGTCCCTTTGATGGGGCCTCCGTTATTGTGGATTTCCTTTTTAAACACCTTTCAACTTTCTGACATTTCAAGGTATGTAGGCTCATCTTGTACATTCACTGCCCCAATTCCACTATGAAACATTTGTCCACGAGCTCCAGTTTTTTTTGGAGAAGGGTATTAGAAGCCAAGATCTGGCTGCTAGTTGTGCTCGTTAATGTTGGGATGTCATGGCTACATGGGCCTCAAAGGCACTTCTAGTATGTTGTATTTTGATCAAAAAGATAAAAATCAAAGGGGGGGGTGGGAAAAGAGGCGAGATGTATTATGTACAGATGCAAATTCCCTAGGATGAGTGTTATGTATGCCTAAAATTTACCAATAAATGTTTTGCTATTAAAAAACCCAAAAGATAGAATCAGCTGGGTGTGGTGGTGCACGCCTGTAATCCCAGCACTCAGGAGGTTGAGGCCAGCCTGGACTACATGAGATTGTCTCAAAAAAAAAAGATAAATCCCACCAAACCACCACCAACATCGGATGCAAATCATAGAAATAGAAAGATATTTGCAATGCTTGTCTAAGACATACTTAAAGTGAATCAAGTTGCAAAATAACTTTGAATATATAAATTAATCTGGAAAAAAAAATTTTTTTTTTTTGGTACTGAGGATCAAACTCAGGACCTTGCACTTGCAAGGTAGGTACGGTGCCACTGAGATAAATCCCCAGCCCAATCTGAAGTGATGTTTATAACCATTCCCAGGGAAAAATTACAGGAAAGCTGCTTCTTTTGGCAATCACTATTTCTGTATTATATGAAAAAAATTTTTTTCCACAAAACATTTGTGATTTAAGATAATTTATAAATAAATCAGCCATTCAGTTGCATTAGAGAACAAAGTGTTAAGAATTTTAATCGATTCATCACAAAAGCATTGACTGAACAAAATAATGTTAATAAAAAAAAATTTTTTTTTTTTTTTTTTGGTTTTTTGAGACAGGGTCTCACTATGTAGTTGAGACTGACCCGGAACTCACTGTGTAGCCCAGGCTGTTCTCAAACTCAGCGATTCTCCTGCCTCGGCCTCCTGAGTGCTGGGATTACAGGCATGCGCCACCATGCCCGGCTAAAAATTTTTAAATAAAAGAATTTTTAAAACAGCAGTGCAGAAAATAGCATTAAAATGTTTGCATAATTACATTCATTTTAACACTCCCACATTCCTTTTAGAACACCAGCTTTCAGAACCACATCAACTTATAGGCAAACAAAGGCTACATCTGAACAGATCAGACAGAGCAAGACAACTTGGAAAGCTTACGTCCTTAAAGTCTTATTGCCAGAGGATGATTTTAAATGACTTCAAACAATATGAATTACATTTTGTTTTTCAAAGTATCCAAGAATTATCCACAGCAATACATGTACAGTGTTTACGGGCCATCATAATCCTCTGTGGTCCATCAGCTTAGACATATTTATTAATCTTGGTCTGTTCCCATACATTTTTCAAAGACTTTTGCCAGACATCTCAAAACAAGTGAGGTGTATTTTAAACAAGCAAAAAAAACCTCAAACATGAAACCAAATAAGTCATTCAATCCAACTAAGCATTTGTTTTTACTAGTTACAAGTTCCCTAAATATAAGCAGCATTATCCTTATTTTCATATAGTAAAAACTAATGAAATAACAATAGTGCAGTAAGTATAGTTTCAGTTAAATCTGATAGTTTTGTTTGTATGTGATTGACTGGCTTTTCGAAGAGATTAACACATTGGGCCAGGGATTTAGCTGAGTGGTTCCAACTGCCTGCCAGTATAAGGACCTGAGTTTGATTCCCAATACCAAAAGAAAAGATTAACACATTAAACTATAGAATAATTTGTTTTACACAAATGGATATGGCGTATGTCACTCAGTCCTTACCATCTTTTATTACTAATTAGAAATTCAAAATAGTTTCTAAAAATACATACATACATATAGATTTTTTGCGGGGTGGGTACTAGGAATCCAACTCAGGTCCTTGTGCTTACAAGGCAGGTAGCAAACCACTGAGCTAAATCTCTGGCCCTGTCTCTAAATATATTGAATTGAACTTCTATAGATAACTCATGTAAAGTGAGAACTCTGTGTAGAAAATTCAGAAATTATCTTTAAAAACTGGACATGAAATGATTTGCCTGGGTTTGGATTTGTTGTTCTGCTTCTGACAAGGTGAGATAATCCTGGTCTAAAATCAAACTGCTTTATACAAGACAAGTGGTGATATTTCTATAGAAACCAGCTTGCTTTGTCAATTTTCTTATACAGAAAGCAGAAATTTTCCAATTACGGCTATGAAGTTCCATAATTATAGAGTAACAGTGCTATCAGTATCCAAAGATTTGCCTTTCAACAAACATCCCCAACTTTCAAAATTATAAGGAACATAACTATAGGGATGTGTTTCAGTATTTGTTATCTCGATATTAATTTGTTTATACTGTATAAGGAGTTATCTGAACTTATCCACATAGTAACTGTTTTATAGTTGAAGTTGGCATTAATTATTAAAATTGTACACAAGGAAATTAGGCGTGTTGCAGTACTTGGTTGCAAATAACTTGCCATCTGGTGTAGGGTCAGAAAATGCTATTTCATTTGTGCTGAGGAAACAGCCAAACATGAAGCAATTCCTAGAAAAAGAGGAAAAGATGTTTTAACAATGGAACCAACTTAAAATTCTGATTAAACATGACTACAATCTAAGTAGTCTTTATTAAATCAATGTCAAACATAATTGACTTCAATTAGAAGTTACAATATAAGCTTCTAATATACTTACTATCATTGAACACAGAATTTATTGTTACTTAATACAGTAAAAAATACTGCTTAGTTTTCATTCTTTACAAGTATATCAGCTATAAAAATAAAACAAGAGCTGTGTATTTCAGCTCTTTATTGACTCATACTGTGTTTTCAAAACCCCATCCGAACCTCAGCTGCTTCTTAGGCAGAACTAGGAACAGTACTGTGCTGCTATAAGGGCTCCAACGGGCATCGTCCCTACAGAGAGCTCAGTATGAGGCTCCTCACATACAGGTTACTATGGTTATGTTACCTGTATCTTCAACTCAGATGTATGAGAAAAGATGTTTCAAAGGAGTATTTTATCTCTTCTTTCAGGATGACTTACTTTATCATTATGGCTTATAGACAACCTACTGCCTTACTGAGTATGACACGCATACCAGCAACATTCAGCATCACCCAAGAGCTTACCAAATTGCACATTCTCAGGTCCCATTCCACATCAGCTGAGTCACTTTTTTTTTGGCTGTGCTGGAGATTGACCCCAGGACCTTGTGCGTGCTAGGCAAGCACTCTATCCCTGACTTTTTCTATTTCACCAGACTTTTTCTATTTTTCTTTCTTTTTGGTACTGGGGATTGAACTCGGGTTCTTGCGCTTGTGCGACAGGTGGCGAAATCACTGAGCTAAATCCCCAGACCCTATTTTTCATTGTGAGACACAGTCTCACTGAGTTGCCCAGGTTGGCCTCAAATTTAGGGACCTCCCACCTCAGCTTCCCAGATAACTGGGATTACAGGCCTGTATCACTACACCTGGCCACAAGCTACATTTTAACACCCCTAGGTGATCCATATGGGCATTTAAATTTGAAAAACCGGCTTACTGCCTGGTAAAGCTGGGTTTAGTACTGGTATTCCTCACATCAAATTACTCTATATTTCATCTCAATATAAAATATAGGTTGTAATGCTGGGCATGGTGGCACACACCTGTAATCCCAGCACTTGGGAGGCTGAGGCAGGAGGACTGCTGTGAGTTCGAGACCAGCCTGGGCTACATAGTGAGTTCCAGGTCAGTCTCAACTACATAGTGAGACCCTGTCTCAAAAAACCAAAAAAATAAAAATAAACAAATACATACATACATACAGCACAGACACTAATTCTCCTTATGGAGCCCTTTTTAAGTACGTGGTTGACTAGAATTATGGCTCAAAACTAGATCCCATAGCAGTCTGGTATTCATTCTCTAAAAGTGACTAGAATTCAAAAGGCTCGAGTAGTGCTTCTCACTGTGGTCACTGGTTTGTAATCTAGGGATGTGTTCTGTGTAGAAGCTAAGAGGATATGTTTTAGAACTTTGCCTTATAATTTAAATTAGCTAAATTAACAATCATCCTTGTTGGCCACATTATACAAGGCTACTTTGAAATGTATGCACAGAACTTTAAAATAGAGAATCAGGGCTGGGGATTAGTTTAGTGATTCCAGCACCTGCCTCGCAAGCACAAGGACCTGAATTCAATCCCAGTACCAAAAAAAAAAAAAAAATTTTTAGACCCTTATTAGATAAAAGATTTACAAATATTTTCTCCCCTTCTGTGGGGTTGTCTTACTCACTTTTCCATACCTTATTAAACCTATATTTTGTATCAATTACATTCATTGAAATTCAATTTTCAATGGTTTGAATCTAATAAAAATCTGGTCTTAGATTTTCTATCATCATCATCACCATCATCTTGGTGTTGATAGGGACGGAACTTGGCCTTGTGCCTGCTAGGCAAGACCTGAGACATGTCAGCCCAATTTCCCTCTTTGTTGTTGCCCCCCCCCGACACTTTTTCCCCTAATCATACAGAGCAGTGATGACAAACCTTTTAGAGTTTTCAATGACACAAACAGTCTGCTAGGGCATGGATGCCATAGGTTTGCCACCACAGGAATAGGGCACTGACCCCAGGAAGCACTGAGTATGTCCTGGCCGTTTTCATTTTTACTTTGAGACAAGGTGTAGCTCTGTTGTTCAGGCTGGACTTGAACTGCTGACCCTTTTGCCTCGGCCTCCCAAGTAGCTGAGATTATATGTGCACCACCATTTCATTTTTCTAGTAATCCATTTCTACTTTATATTTTATTTTAATAAAAGTGTTGGTCTGTAACAAGTTAAACTAGACCTTTACCACAAAAGCGTTGGCCTGGAATGCTTCATATTTGGCATTTTTCAAGTACCAATGCCTGACTTTGACAGTACTTATACAGTGCCATCTTACCAACATCCTTCCCTTCAGCTCATGATTGAGAGAGGTTCTGGAAAAGCCAAGAGCGCAAGGTTCAAGGTCTAGACCCATTTTATTTTCTTACCGGAGAGAATCTACCAGTCGTCTTGCAATGCGCTTTCTTCTCTTGAGTTTGAAAACCCAGATTCTACTTATCCCACAGACTGCAGGTTCTGGCACATCTGAACATTGCCAGGCTCTAGAATATTCCTTAGAGCCTGAGGATTCTGGACCAGTTGCCTCAGACAGGACACGGAAGGCCTGCAATGATACAAAGAAGCTGCTATAGGTAAAAACAGATGAGTTCACGTTTATGTTTTGTAATTCCTTATACTAAACCTTAGTACCTAAAGTTAATCTTATGACCACCCAAAATATTAAAATTCTTTAACATTAATCACACAATACTTATAAAATACCAGCAATATGGAAATATCCCATCATAGTAAACTCCATACATTATAAAAATTTGATGAAAAACTATAAAAAAATCAAACTTTTAAATTTCCCTTATTATCTCCATCTTGCAATACATATATGTAAACCCAAAAAATTAATTCAATGCCAAAGATTTTTACTCATAATTATGATACGTTTGATACCTAATTCTTATTTTTTTTCTGGTACTAGGGATTTCTCACAAGACAATATCCCCAGTCATTTGTTAATTTTTTATTTTGAGATGGAGGTCTCACTAAGTTGCCCACGTTGGGCTAGAACTTGGAATCTTCCTCCCTCAGCCACTAGGAGTATTGGGAAAGTAGGTATGCCACCATGAGCAGCTTTTTGATACTTATTTCTTTTTTAAAACTTTTCATTTTCAGGGCCGGGGATTTAGCTCAGTGGTTCCACTGCCTGCCTCGCAAGCGCAAGGTCCTGAGTTCAATCCCCAGTACCAAAAAACAAAACAAAACAAAACTTTTTAATTTTCAAATAGTTATAGATGCACAAAATGAAAAAAACAATAGAGTCATATATCCTTCACCTTGTTTTTCCCATCTTTTGTAACCATACAATAACTAAACCCAGAAATTGATATTGGCACATGTGCATACAGTTCCATGACATTTCATCATAGGAGTCTGTACTCATTCAGCCACCTCCACAATCAGTGTACAGAACTACTATATCCCACAAAGTTCTTCCTCTCACTACCTCTTTAGTCACATCCACCCGCCCTCATGGGCCGCAATAATCCCTGGCAACTACTAATCTGTTCTCCATCTATACAATTTTGTTATTCTGAGAATATCAGAGATGTAGATTCCTAAGGCATGTGACTTTTGATTGTTTTTTTTTTTCACTCACCACAATATCAAGATCCATCCATATTGTTACAGATATCTATAACTGCTAAGTAAAACACATCATATGGGTGCATACAATTTGTTTAACCATTCACCTACTAAAGGTTGATTTGTTTTCAGGTTGTGGCTATTAGAAATAAAGCTGCTATAAACATTTACATACATAGGCTTGGTGTGAACACATTTTCATTTCTCTGTAATAAATGCCCAGGAATATGACTGCTGCTGGGTCATAAAGTATAAACATATGTTCAGATTTTTTGGAAACTGCCAAATTTTTTCCAGACTGGCTATGATATTTCATATTTCTACTACAATGTGTGAGAGATCTAGTTTTCCTGCATCTTTGCCAGTATTTGATCTTGTCTTTATTTTTTATTGTACCTGTTCTGATAGAAGTGAATGTAATTAAATTTTAGCTACCATAAAAAAAAAAACTTGACTTTAGAACTGAGAATGGGTAGATGATGTATCAGTTAGTTGACTACATTTGCCTGTTACCACTACATAAGTAGTGTAACTCTTTAAGATCAAAGAAAGAGGGCTGGGGATTTAGCTTAGTGGCACCACACCTTCCTCACAAGTGCAAGCTTGTGAGAATTTGATCCCTGGTACCAAAACAAAAAGCCAAAGAAAGAAAAGAAAGGCCTTCTTAATAGAAAATATAGAAGAGGTGAATGGTGTCCTCTAAGACATAAAATATATGGGGGCATAAAAGTGCAGAGCTTTTGTATGTCATTCAAGTTGTCATTGGCTTAGAAAAACTTAAGATATTTTGGGGAGCTTCATGCACAAAACTCTATCCTAATCGTACAAAAGAGAGGAACCAAAGCACACTCTTACAGATCACTGATCACAAAGGAAAACAGCAGAGGGGAAGAAAGAAACAAAAGGTTCAGAAAACAATTAACAAAATGTCCTAATTATGTACCAAATTATTTTATATGTAGATGATCGGAATTTGCCAGTCAAAAGACAGTGGCTGAATGAATGAAAAAAACAAAACAAAACAATAAACAAGACTCAACTATAGGCTGTCTACTTTCAAACTCATTTTACAAGGCCAGGTTAACCTGGTACTAAGCCTAGCCAAGGACATTACACAAAACTGGAATTACATGCCAGTATCCCTGATGAACACAGATGCAAAAATCATGAACAAAATAGGAACACATCACATTTAACAGCATATTAAAAGGACCATTCACTATAATCAAGTGGAATTCATCCCTGGGATACAAGAATGGTTCAATATACACAGAGCAATAAATGTGATGTGTAACATTAAAAGAATGGCAAAAAAATACAGAAAGAACACAATTTAATAGCAAGAAAATAACCCAATTAGAAAAAGGGACAAGGACCTAAAGAGACATTCCTCAAAAGAAGACAAATGGCCAACAAGTCTATGAAGAAATACTCCACATTATAACCATGAGGGAAATGCAATTTAAAACCACAATGAAACAGCACCTTACACCTGTTAGAGTGGTTATTATAAAAAAAGACAAAAGACATCAGATGCTAGCAAACACGTGGAGAAAAGGAAAAGCTTATGCTGGTAGGAATGTAGATTAGTAGAACCATTATAGAAAATAAGATGGAGGCCTCTCAACAAATTAAAGAACTACCATATGATCCAGCAGCTCCACTTCTAGGTACAGATCCAAAGGAAATAAAAAACTTCAAAGAGCTATTTGCCTTCTTGGGTTCACTGCTGCCTCACACACGACAGCCAAGACACGGAATCAGTGTACGTGTTCATTAGTGAATGAATGGAGAAAGGAACTGTGGTGTGCATGTATACAGTGGAACACACTAGGCATAAAAGATGAAATCCTGTCGCTTGTGACAACACGGACAAACCCACAGAACAGTACACTGAGCAAAATCAACCAGGCACAGAAAGACAGATACTGCATGATCTCACTTAAGTGTAAAAAGTTGAACTTAGAGAAGATGACCACGGACGGAGGTAAGGAGAGAATGTCGGTAAAAGAGTACATTTCACGTAGGATAAGTTCTGGAGATCTATGGTACAGTTAAATGAATATGTGAATACTGCATGCTAATCGGACTGATTGAGTAATTTCAGAATGTATACATATATCAAAACATCAAGCTGTACACCATAGCATATGTAATTTTCACTTGTCAATGACACCTTAATAAAGCTGGGAGAGAAAGAAAAACTAAAGTGAGCACTTACTGCTAGTGATACAAACTATGCTTTTCTAATAACAGAGACTATGTTTTCCAGAACATTGCTAATTAGTATCTAGATTCTAATTAGGGGATAAGTAGTGACTTTATCTAAATAAACAGATTAGGGTCTACAGATTTGCTTATGTAAAATTGTATTTTATAGTCTAGGTACAGAAATGACTACCTGGGCCGGGGATTTAGCTCAGTGGCTCTGTGCCTGCCTTGCAAGTGCAAGGTCCTCAGTTTGATCCCTAGTACGGCAAAAAAAAAAAAAAAAAAAAAAAAAAAAAAAAAAAAAAAGGACTACCTGTACGTGAAATGATGACATGAAAGTAAGACTGACTTACCCGGCTTATAAAAGCAAAAAATCAAATATAATGTAATAAATGACTTCATTATCCACATGGTTAGAGATTTGAATAGAAAAAAAAAAATCATGAATGGTACCAGTCACAAATGTCTGACACTTCTTCCAACTACTTTATTTTGCTCACAAATTATGCTAATAAGAATTATATAACATACCTGTCTGATGGGCTCTGCAATTAAACACCCAACTACTTTCTTATCATCAGAAACAAAGAGAAAAGTTTTGGTTTTCTCTGGACACCTGGGTATAACTTGCTGGAAGCCCAATTCATAATCAACAAGTTCTTGGACATCTGTTACCTAATGTTAAAAAACCAAACGTGAATTTGTTTCAAAAACAATGTATACAAACAATATAAATTTGCTTGTATGAAATGTGTGATTATCATCATTTTAGCTACTTTTATCTATTTTCTAAATTTACCATCCACAAAGGCATTCCACTATTGATGCATGTATCTGGTTCTTCAGAGATAGGGCTGTAAGAACTTATTTTAAAGGGTACTTTTAGCAGAAGTTCAGGTTTTTAGCACAATCCAGATCTTCCTGGGTAAGATAATCAGTAGGAAGTGCTAAAACAATCATTTTAGCTTTATTTACTCTTCGCATTATCCAAATATTCAACCCAAGAAATATAGGTAACATCAACATAAGAAACAGATGAGGGCCCATTAATTTCTGAACACTGAAAAGCTTTTTATTTCTTTTTTTAAGCAGGGTCTCAGTGTGTAGTTCAGGCTGGTCTCGAACTCAAGGTAATCAATCCTCCTGCCTCAGCCTCCTGAGTGCTGGGATTACAGGCATATGCCATAATGGCCTGCTGAAAAACTCAGTTTTTAGCTTTTACAAGGGGAAGACACAGGTAAAAGTGAAGCTGTAGTGCCTTATGTGGCTCCCCTATTCTCCAAAGGACACTTCTTTTTCTGGGAATTCTAAGTTTGATCTTGTATGCACTGTTACGCAAATGATTCGTGAGCGCGCACCAAAATGGCTTGTCTACCAGCAAAGTGGTTTAATCTTTGATACAGGTTGATTTCTGGGGGTGAGGGAAGAACAAAGATGAAAAAGATGAAGCTCCACACCTTTCTCATAGCGTAACTTGGATCACGTGGCAGGACCAACAGGATCTTTCCATCCCAAAACTCTGCTACTACTCGTTCTCTTTTCCAGCCCTGCCAAATGAAAAAAAGAGCCTTGATTTGTGAAGAGGAAAAAGCCAAAAAAACACATTGAATAATTTGATCTGGGGAGGACAAAAGATCAAACGATATAAAAAAATGAAGCCCAATTAAAATACAGTAAAACCAATAAAAGATGCTTAAAACAAATGCCCTCGATGGGCTGACACCCTATTTGAAGGCATGTGCATATGTTTTCTATTATAAACAAAGCATAGTCAAGTAAGAGCCCTCCATAAGATCACAGAGAAAGAAATACTGAATTACTCAGGGTGGGCAGTAGGCTCAGTGTCTGGGAAGGTTTAATGAAAGAGTCCACTAGGCACAGCATAGTGGCTCCCACCTGGAATCCCAGCTGCTCAGTAAACTGATACAGGAGGATCCCAATAGCACAGAGACAGACTGGCTGTGTGGAACAGTGTCCACTAACAAACCACCCAGACTTGGGAACACAGCATACATTAAAGGAGGCACTGACAATCAGTAGGGAACACGAGCCAGTTAAACAGTAATGCTCGACACTTAGTAAACCTTAGGAAAAAACACAAAGATACACTTCCCCAGGGAGTAACATGCCTCAAAACTCCTTGTGGATTAAAGATCTAAATATAAAATTTATAGCTAAAAAAGTATTTTAAGAAAATACACCAAGAACTGTTTATTGGGAATGACATTCTTGACTTAACCTCAAAAGTCACAAATTAACTAAAAAGTTTTAATTTGGGACCAGGGATTTAGCTCAGTGATGCCACCCACCTGCCTTGCAAGCACAAGGTCCAGAGTTCAATCCCCGTACCAAAAAAAAATTCTTTTTTAAAATTTTATGTGTGCCAGCATATACCATAAAAAGGTTAAAAATCACTGAGTGTGGTGGTGAATCCCAGCACTCAGGAGGCTGAGGCAGTAGTATCACTGCGAGTTCAACGCCAGCCTGGGCTATGTAGTGAGACCCTGTCTCCAAAAAGAAGTTAAAATTCAAGTAATAGTATTTTCTTGTATATGCAGGATATACAAATACAGATAAAACTGTTTATGTTGGCTGCAAACAGAGAAGAACTAGAAAGGGAAGAAATACCTTTCATTGGGTATACTTCTGTACCTTGAATATTGAAGCACAAATTATTACTATAACAAAAACATAAGTAAATTTGAATCTTAAAAGAAACACTTGTCACATAGAAGTTATGAAATAAAGGTTAAACACACAACAGATTCCCATAAATTAAAAAAAGCAACTCAATATAGACAATAATCACACCTCATCAAAGAAATTTACTTTGTTCCAAAGGCAGGCGCTTAAACCTCAAGGGGGAATGTGCCACACAGTAAGCAGGGCAGGGGCCAGAATGCAAAGGGCTCTATTGACCACAATAAGGACGTTTATTCTTAGTGCAATAGGAGACTGTTAAAGTTGGAGCACAGAACGACACTTTATTTATATTTTAGAAAATAATTCTCTGGCTGATATATGGACTGAGGTCAGATTAGGGGGCACCTGACTGCTGGTGGGTACCTTCTCTTTTTAAAGTACACAGGATCATACTAAACCTGTTGTAAGAAGTACTCTAATGGCACTCACTGTGGAACCCCAGGAAGGAAGCTGTTTTAATAAATCAAGCTGAAAAATATTGTAAAGGCATAAACTATGGTAATAAAAATAAAAGAAAACGATATGTTTGAGCAGAAGGTACAATCATCAAGGCCAATGACAGGATGTGTGAGGACTAAAATAGTGCTTGACAAAGAGCAGAGAAGGGGCCTGGAGAGGTTGTAGAAAGGCTATTTTTTCTAAACTTATCCCAAAAGAAAGTACAGTAAGGAGAAGGGGATCTCCACAAGTCTGAGGGCTTTCTTTTCTTTTTTTTTTTTTTTTTTCT